TGGCATCTCATCTCGTCTCACTTTCACGACTGCAGATGCCGCTGCCGCATCTGCACTTTCTGTTGCCTCTTGAATGTTTTGAGATTCGTAATGGTGATGAAGAGCGGCATTAGCGGAGGTCTTGGAAAGAGGAGGAAGGGTGAAGTCAATGGGTTCAGAAGGAGAGGGTAAGACCTCAAGCAGTGAGAAAAATGAAGGATTGGGAGGAGCTGAAGGGGATGGTGGTGAGGAACTAGAGGTGCAAGGGGGAGGACGAGCTGAAGGAGAGGAGAGGGATGGAAGACGGAATACTTGCGGCGTCGAGGGCAGAGGAAGGTTGGAAAACAAAGGAGGAGAAGAGGTAGCTGGTGCGGGAAGATTTGGAGATGGCGGGAGGTAGGCATGGGCATCTGGCCCGACCCGGCCCGACCCGTCCCGTTTAGGGCGACCCGTTAGCTTAACGGGTCGGGTCGGGTCGGGTTAGCGGGTCGGGTTTGACTCTGTTTTGGTGACCCGACCCGCCCCGTTGGAACGGGTATTTGTGACCCGTAACCGGGTCGGTTACACCACGGGTCGGGTCGGGTCGGATCAAAACATGCTACATAGCAGCAGGGTATGGTGGCGCCTTGGCACTGCTCCAGGTGGCGTTCGCGATGCTGGAGGTGGGGACCGCGATTCTGGCTGGTGGCGTTCGCGCTACTGCAAGGCCGCTATCGCGCTATTGCGGGGATGCGATCCCGCCAATGCGTGGCCGCGATCGCGCTGCCCTAATGTGGTGCCGCGATCGCGCATATGCGGGGCCGCGATCGCGCTATTGCGGGGACACGATCCCGCCAATGCGTGGCCGCGATCCCGCCAATGCGTGGTCGCGATCCCGCCAATGCGTGGCCGCGATCCCGCCAATGCGTGGCCGCGAGTGCGCTGCTGCGCCCCTGGTCGTGCGACACTGGGAAAGGCAGGAGCGCCTATGCCTATAATGAATATAAATATTAAAATAGTGCTAACATTGAAGTCAAGACTGTAAGAGTTTTGGTAGGTGCAGTGGAGATTTACTAACTTGATTAGAGACTGGATCTGAATGTCGAGGGAAACAAAACATAAAAACCAACTGATGTTCTCCCCCTCTCCAAATTGTACCCTAAGCAGAGAACGGGTCGAGTAACCCTGTCATTTGACTGGGTATGCGACCCGGACGGGACGGGTCAACCCGACCCGGCGGGTCGCTGATACCCGTCTATAAATCACATTGACGGGTCACGGGTCGACCCGACCCGCCCGGGTAAACCCGACCCGACCCGGACGGGACGACATTCTCAGCATTCCTGACCCGACCCGCCATTTTAGGCGGGTCGGGTCGGGTAACCCGACCCGTCCGGGCCAAATGCCCATCCCTAGCGGGAGGAGGGTGGTGGAAGAGGGCATGGGAGATGAAGGAGAGGGAGGGGGGGTTGGGGCTAAGAGGGAAGGGGGTGGAGGAGGAGGCGAGAGGATGATATGGGTGGTGGAGATGACGATGGAGGTTCTCGAGGGTCATCGGAAGGTGGCGAAGAGGGCTCCATGAAGATGACATCACAAGAAAGTATGACACGATGCTGAGATGGGATATAGATGCGATAAGCTTTGGTGCCGTCAAGATGACCATACCCAACCATGATGCCGGCCGTACTTCGGTCGTCAAGATTAAAGCGCCGTTCCGGAGGAATGAGGACTGAAACAGGTGAATCGAAGATGCGGAGGTGTGATACGTCCGGACGTGCACCGGTCCATAGTTCTATGGGAGTCTTAGAAGTTGAACCACCCCGACTAATGGCATGATTACGTAGATAGGCATCAGTGAGAGCGGCTCCACCCCACCATCCTATGTCCATGTGTGCGTCATGAAGCATGGAACGGACCATCTCAAGTATAGTCCGATTGGCGCGTTCAGCAACTCCATTTTGCTCGGGTGTCTACGGCGTAGAGTGGTGTCGAGCGATGCCATGAGCTTTAAGGAATGAAGTGAAGGGGTCGGAATTGAACTCCAAGGCACCATCGGTGCTGAAAGCAATGTCAACGGAGGAGCTTGTTGACACATGCACCGAAGGCTGGATGACAGATTTCTCCCGTCGAGAGCTTTCTTCGAACTCTTTCTTCTTCTTCAACTTGAAGCATTCGCCAATGGTGTGGCCGGTTTTCTTGCAGTAATGGCAAGTAGGGGACTGGCGGGAAGCGGAGCAAATAGGGTGGGAGGGCTGGGAATGGAGGTTGTATGCAGCTTCCATGTTGCGGCTTGTACCAGATTCTGACCGCTCCCAATCGGCATCGAGTAGACGTGACTGCAGAAATTCAACCGCCATAGACTTGATGTCTTTCACGGTGCAATTAGTTTCTGTGTGAGTCTTGAAAGAGTCCGGCAGATTCACAATGATGGAGATTACCACCACCCAAGATGGTAGCTCGTAGCCGGCAGATTTGAGTTGGTGCGTGAGATTTCCAACTTGATCGAAGTAGGAGCGAAGACTCATGGATGGGTCCATCCGTGTAGTGATGAGATCTCCAAGGAGGAAGGGTGTGCCGACCAAGAGGCGTCTCAACTTGAGCCACCAAGTGTGCGACGTTCACAAAGCTAGAAGCCTAGCTCTGATACTATGAAGAAAATGGATCGGTGAACTTAGGGCACGATAGAAAGAAGAAATATCCTTAGCAAGAAAATGGTATAAGTCTGAAAGACTAAAGAAATTTTCCCACAACGATTAGCCTTCAACTATTGCCAGGTTGTGGGCCCTTCTCAACAAGAAATTTTCCCAAACTCGCAATCAAGTATTGTGATGCCTCATGGGCTTCCGAAAGTGAGGATTGTCATACCCTCACAACTTACCTGTTCTTTCTCGGCCCTTCTTTGATTTTGTTGCAATCCAAGCGGCAATGTGTCGTTGCGACGTCCTCTTGTGAAGCTGAATACTATGCGCTTGGTGCGGTAACCCACGAAGCCCTTTGGCTCCGCACTTTCCTCTGCTCTCTCACTCTTCCCCCCACTGATAAAATAGAAATCGCGCGACACACACAAACGACAAAATAGAAACCGCGCGGGACACAAAAACGACAATGTAGACACACGACTAGCGATGACTCGCTATTCACTCGACGCACATAATAGACATCATGACTCAACATTCACACACTATTGTAAGCATGAAATATATATTATCTCATGCCCTCATACCACTCCATGCACACACGTATGCACGCACACAGACAACAAGCCGAGTGCAAACCGTAGGGTTGCACCAACATACATTCCATCCCTACCCGTGATAACCTTGCTCATATGGGGACCAAGCCTCTCCCTCCTGACACGCTTCAGTGTCTCCAGTCATGCATCGGCCTGCGCCTTGGTACTTCTCTTTTGACCTCTCCCTTGGTGTCACCCTAAGGGGGGGTGTTGTTGGGTATTATTTTACTTTAAATTTGCTGGAGGATTTGTTCATTGGTCTATTTATGGTTTGTAATTGTTTGTTTACATCACAAAAGTGTAAAAAATAGGGGTTGGTTTATATTAGTTATAGGGTGCCACCTGAGTGACTTTATCAAGTACTAAGCACCCCAAATTCGGCTTTGGGGCACCTCAACACGTTTCTCAACCTTGGGGACGCGGCTCCAGTCTGGACCCACAAATTCCAACATTGGAACGCAGCTCCAGCTTGGAATTCACATTTCCGATTCGTAGAATTGCGGTTCCACTTAAAAGGGCGCTTCCAGACCCACTTTGAGGGTCGCTCTCGTCCCCATCTTGACTGTGGGCGACTTGAGCACCTATTTGGCCACCTCAAGTCTCTTATGTACCAAATTCCTCACCAGGAATAGCCCAAGTCGCCTCCAAGCTAGCTCTCTTCATTTTCTGCCTGTTTTAGCTTTTGATTTGCTTGTATTCATCACTTCACTTAACTTTCTGTTTGTAGAACATTTTCAACACTTCTGAGCCAGCTTCTCCTTGTGCACATTGTGCACATAGGTTTGTTTGTCTACAGAAAGGCCATTCCTTGGCCCGTGACAAGAAAGCCACTGGCTAGCCACCGTAAGATGCTGGTGACCCCCGGCTCATCACAATGTAGGCCATTGCTCATGCTCATCTTTGCACATGCCCATCTCTACTTGCTCATACTCATATGTGCATGCTCCAACAACTCATACTCACAGATAGGTGAGCCTGTCCAAGGCACTGATGGAATCCGCAATAGATCCGGTTAAGAGTGCGTTATATAGATTGCTGATGGGCGGTGGAATGGAACGGGTGGGGAACATTATAAGTTTGAGGAGGAAATAAAAGGAGAGATTGTTGAATCCATCAAGGTGGTTTGAGACGATAAGGTCTGTGCCTACATGCATGGAGATGGTAGAAACCTGAGAGGAGCATTAGTTTGGTGTTCTGTTGCATTAACTTCTTCCACTATGAGCCATGCAAAGAAAATGGGAGGAGATGGAGGGAAGGGGATGATAAGATGGATCAGGCAACACTAACACATGGGTTTAGCCTACGAACATAAACAAATAGGTTATGTGATGGCATTAAAAGGAAGTTACAATATTGGGCTTTCGGACTGGGGATGAGCACAGGTCGCCCCACGCCCGGCCAGGGCGGGCCGGACATGCTGGTGCGCCTGCACTGGGCCAGCCCAGGCCAGGCCGACCAAACTTAGTTGCGGAAGACGCGTCTAGCGTCTTAGACGCGTCCGTCTATACGCAGCATCTAAGACACTAGATGCTAGATGAGTCCAGATTAGATGCAGTATTAGACGAAAGCCCGGGCAGGCTCTAAAAAAATCGGGCAGACCAAAAAAATCTATAGGGCATGGGGAGGGTGGGGGACTTACACGTATGTCACAATGGGGTCACTATTTCCCTGTTCCATAACTTTTTCCCCATTCTTGTATTTCACAAAAATCTTCACATCTCATCATACGTAGTTAGGTTTCCATGTCTCTCAAGTACTAGTAAACTTGAAGGAAATTACTACTATTACATCTCCGCAATCACTATGCCTCCTAGCTCTCCTCCTCTTCCTCCTCCTGCTCCTCCTCCTCCTCCTCCTCCTCCTCCTCCCCCTCCCCGTCCTCCCCTTCCTCCTCCTCCCCTTCCTCCTCCTCCTCCTCCTCTTGCCCCTCCCTCTCATTAAGGCACACATCGTCCTCGTCTGCCTCTACCTCCCCATCCTCCTCCAACTTGGACCCCTCGGGGAGGGGAAGGGGGGGAATGTTCCCCTCCACCACCATACCCCTCCTTCCCACCACACTAGGCCCCGCGTCAGCCGCACCCTTGTGGAAGTTGTGCACAACGCGCAACGTACGCAAGGTCGCGCACCTCCGACCCGAGCCGATTCCTGCACGCCTTGTGCACGCCATCCCACGTAAACCAGTTCCGCTCGCACAGGGAAGCTGAAGCAAGCTGGGACAGCGTTTGCCGCGCAAGGCACGCCAGGTCGGCGTACTCCCATCCATTGTTTAGCCACCATAACATCACGTTTCCCTTCCCCAACTAAATCTGCTCGCGCCCCTCGATCGCGGTCTACGTGTCGAATCCTCCTTCGCCATTGCTGTAGACTGTCACCCCCTCATACAGAAGCCGTACAGGTCCCTTCTTGCCACGAAACTTCTACCAGTACGTGTCGACGAATGCCTTCTGGCGCTCCAGCCACTCCTGCATGACCTTGGTGCACTCCGCTTTTTCCAGAAAGATCCCTTCCTCCTGGTTAGCCGGGTTCAAGATCCGGCCTGCCACATGGAGGGGCATGCCACGTGCTCTGCCCCGATGCACTCGATGATCGGCCGCAGGACGCCGGCGATGAACACGCTACTATTTGTCACCGCCTAGCAGTCGACCGCCTCGATGAAGACAACTCCAGTGTCGTTGATGCAGATGATGTTCATCTGCGCGCGGCCGCCTTTATCTTGCATCATGTCGCTGGCGATCGTAACGCCCGTCTCCTTGCACGACTTTGAAGCGGGCGACAACGACTTCTCAATCCGCTGCTTGCACTCCAACAGGCTAGCACCTCCGACGTTGTGCCGCTTGGGGGAGACGTAGTTCGGGCCGGCGGCATTGATGGCTCGCAGCATGTTGAGGAAGAGCGGTGTGCTCGCACTGAGACTCCGATGTGCGCGTCCCTGCGAAATAGAGAACCATCGCCTTGTCTGCCGCCCGCCTTGCCGCGACCCCACCCTTGCCGTAAAAGTGTGAGAAAAGTAAAAACTATCCGCGGACCTATGTTGAGAAAGACGCGTCCTGCGTCTGGACGCATGCGTCCAGGCGCAGGACGCAGCACCAGGACCAGAAAGACGCGCCAAAAGACGCAAGCCCGGGCAGGGCAAAAAAACCCCTCGGGCAGGCAGATAAAATGTTGTAGGCCCTGGATGAGCACGGGGGCGGGTCGGGCTGTTCTGGCCCGCCTATTTCCCCTGCGACAATTTGCTTCGTCAACTTTACTTACAAGCTTGTCGAGTTTATTACGCTGTCGACTATATCTCAGGCCAACAAATGCGGCCTGATTTGGTCGACCTGGGTTGGGAATAGATAGATTGGTTGGAAATTCTGTATTCAGTGCGGTGAAATACGGTTTTTGTTCTAATTTGAGTCAATTTCGTCAGATCTCGTTCTTGCGGGGACTAGACCCTCGCGACACATGTCATGGGAGTCAAATTTGAGCTGTGCGACATTTTGTGCAAGCTCTAGCGCAAGCTCAGCTCACCCCTAGCTTCTCGCCATATATTTATACCTCACCTAGCTCGTTTTCAAACTTAGGTTTTAGTGTTAGTTGACCGTTTTAAAGTAACGGTTATCTCAAAGGGTGACGAAATACTGCATTTGAGCTAAGAGGGGAGGGGGGGGGGGGTGACCTTCCACACTTTCAATGGCTATTTTGGCAAGGGGGGGGCCAAGTGGAAAAAAATGATTGCGGAATTATATGATTGTTTTTTTTTTTATGGTAAATAACGGTACATTTTGGGGAAAAAAAATGTCGCTTTTTTGTTAGACAAGAACGAGCGTCTTAAAGCTCCGGTATACATTTGAAAGGAGGGGTTCAAAATCCTGAGGAACTTGCAAGTTTGGCCCAAGACTATGAGGCGCAATATACAAACCCTAAACCCCGCTGACAAATGTATACTCAAGCTTTAATGTCAAAGATGATATTGTAAAAAAAAAAAAAAAAAACACTTGCACAGAATCTCTTGTAGGCTTGAGCAAAAGACTCGGTTGGTTCAGGTTAGCCCGACCCGACCCGAGAATTTAGGCCAGTCGGGTCACGCCTTTCAATGGGCCTTTCAGGCCGACCCGAGCAAAGAACCCGACCCGACAACGAAAGTCAGGTCGGGATGGATCGGGCCTTGGGCCGACTTTGGCACAACCAAAAATCGGGTCAAAAACAAGGTAACCCTAAGGTCGATATCAAGGGGATATTTTTCCCCTCAACATCAGTCCCGCTACGTAACTAACCGTCAGCCAAGAAATCCTAGTTTCTAGGCAAGTACTAGTCGACTAAGTGCAAAGGATTAATGTCGCGAGCTCTGTAAAGAGTGAGAGGGGGGGGGGGGGGGGGAGGGGGGGGGGGAATTGTAGATTCAGTGCACTAAAGGGTGGTAAGCAAAGCAGTGGCGAATTGGTTGGAAATGTTTGTTCCAACACGTTTGTTGGAAACGAGCGCCTTGGCTGAGAAATTTACAGGCAAAAACTCGATATCCACAGATATCGCAACGAGACCGTCGATTTCTTGCTTTCAGCGGGCGAAATTGCCGATCTGTGCAGCGCGCGGGCGAGAGCGGTTTCCCTAAACTGAACCAACCTCGGGTTGGCCCGACCCTGGGTGGAGAAAGACGTGTCCAGCGTCCAGGACGCAGGACGCTAGTTTCTGGCCCTTTAGACATAGCAAAAGACGCAGGTCTGGGCAGGCCAAAAAAAACCACCCGGAAGCCCATAAAAAAGCTATAGGGCAGAGGGAAGTGGGGGGGGGCTTAGCACACTTTCTTTGCAAAATTTCTCCCAAAGGACAAACTTTCCCCCAAAACACTAGAGCATCATGGTGAGTTGCAAATTTTCATCATCATGGTGAGGAAAAAAAAAATCCGGTCCGCCCGAAAAACAAATCGCCCTGCGTCCTGCGTCTTTGCGTCAGGATGCAGCGTCCAGACGCAGGACGCTGGACGCCCCCAGCGTCTTTCTCCACCCAGGCCCGACCCGAAGTCGAGTCAGGCCTGACCCGGCCCTGTACCCCCGGCCCTGTCGAGACGGGTGCTGCGTGCTTTATGGGACAAACTAGAGCTCAAAGTCGGGTCAAGGTATTTAACATCCTGGCCCGGGCTTCCCGACCCGACCCGACCCGGAAACCCGCTTTTGGCCCGACCAAGTCGGGACGGGTCGGGCCAGATGCTCATGACTAATCTCTTGGTGCATAAGCAACACTCCTAACAGCCCCCTCATTCTACCTATGAAATTATACCCATGTTACAACGACAAATTCAAGTTTTTACTGAAAAAAACGATGGTTTTTCCACCATTTTTAATAAATTTATTCTTCTTTATAATATTTCTTTATCAATTTTTTCGGTGCTTTTTTTATACGGTACTTTAGGGCCAATTTTTGAAAGAAAACGTCGTTTTTTTCACCTTTCGTCCAGGCGCTGGACGTGAATGCTACCGATACCTAGATTTCTTCTCTCCATCGCATTCTCTCCTCCCTCCATAATATTTTGGATCTGTCTCAGCAAAGTGTTTGTAAGGAAAGTTGGATGTGCTATGCGTGACCTGAGTCGTGCCCGGGCCAGAAACTGGCCTAGCAAGACCACAAAAATGGCGGCCCGACTCGGGCTGACAGTCCGAAGGAGTCGGCCCGGCCCGCCTTTTGCTCATGCCTATCCTGAACCAATAGCATGAGCAAATTAACTCTTGTCCAGACAGGTAGTCCTGCACAGGAACGCTGCCACAGAGAAACCCATCCCAGTATTTGAAAGCCTTCCCAATGGGTTGTTAAGAACCAGTCTTTGGTGAACCCATTGGGAAGGCTTTCTCAATGGGTTGTTAAGAACCGGTCTTTCCATTGTCCCTCCCTCTTCCAATTGGGAGGTCTAAGACCGGTTCTTCCAATTGGGAGGACAATGGAAAGACCGGTCATGAGGCTTAACATTGGAAGAGGGAGGTCCATTGTCCCTCCCTCTTCCAAGACCGGTTCTTCCAATTTAACTATCTTTCTTTGGTGAACCCATCGGGAAGACTTTCAAAGGCTTTCTCACCAAAGAAGACAGTTAAATTGGAAGAGGGAGGGACAATGGAAAGACCGGTTCATGAGGAAAGGGAGTGCAAGAGAAATACAAAGAAACACACAGAGGCATCTGGAGATTGTATGGTCAGCAAGGGTTCAATCAATAAAATGCACCAAGTAATTGCAAATACAGAGCACACAGAATGGTGACGCGATAAATAAAACAGAGGCACCCAATTCAAGACGAGCAAGAGTTGATGCACACATGGGGGATGCAAGACCAGCTAGAGTTGGTGCTCTCACATGCGGGTCACCATGCCTTGGGCATCGCACATCACATTGGAGGCCCAGCTACAGTCCCCCCCAGCCACCCACCCAGGGAATGTGCGCCCCCACGCTTGCTGCAAGTCCTGCAGGACTTGCACTGGCGGCAGATGGTGGGGGAGAGGGAAGCAGGAGTGCAAGAGAAGGACAGAAGGAGGGGGTGGGGCAGGTAACGGAGGAAGGAAAAACCAGCTATCATAAGCTCTTTCCTACAATTGGGGAATGAGCAGTCCTCAGCTCCATAGGGCACAGCAAGTGATTAGACTACGACTACTAGTACTCGTGGTCGTATGTGAGCCACAACGCCTTGCGATTCCTGCATCCACCCATGGCAGCAAGTTACCCACACATCAAACTCCCCCAATGGAGCAGGAGAGAAAATATGGGGAGAAACAACACCCTGCTTTGGAGGGGGTGGGAGGGAAGAAGAGATTAATCAGCTCATCAACTTCATACAGCCTTCCCTCCCTCTTTCAAACCCTTCACAAGACATCAATAGAGCAGACAGGTGTGATGGGCAAGCACGAGAAAATTGTTCATGGTGAGAAAATGTTGGGAAAATGTTGGGAAAATGCACACTGCTGCAATTCCGAACTCGAAGTTGGCGGATAAAGCTGTTAAGCATCATTCTATGGATGAGAAGCATGGATCTGATGGATACGTGCGATAGCGCCACTTGACTTGACAATCCGCCACCGTGGCACGATTCGCGCCATTGCTGAAACCAACATTGTGCATGAGATTGAACCGAAGAAGAACTTTTGTAGCGGAAGACAGAGCGGAGTCGGGAAACTGTGACGAGGCGCGTAGGCACGATCACAGAGCAAAGTTGAATGCGTCCCGCGTGGTGCCATCGTGGTGTGAGAGCCTCCATGGAACCCTTGCTGGTGCAGTCTACTACCGTTACCAGGGCTCCATAACACATGAAATTTTTAAGGGCAACAAATACATGAAGATTGGAGGCGTGGAGGTTGAGAGCGGCGGCGGTCAACTGAACGGGGCCAAGTTCTTTCTACGACGAACCTTGGGAGTCGGCGAGCGGGACACATTGGACTGGAGAAACCACGGCGATACACGTCAGAAAAATGAGTAGTCCGAGCCGAATGATTCGTCCCGCGCCGTCCGTTGCCATCGAGGTGCGGCGAGCTTCTGGGAAACTCTAAATTTGTAGATTTTATCACTTGTGAAGCTGCGAGCAACGAGTAGCAGTGACTTTAAGCGTCAATAGAAACGAGTGAATATCTGCAGTCGGTTAAGCCAAGAGACTTCGACAAACTTGAGGAATTTAAGAGGAACTTCCTAGCTTGAAGTAGGTTACTTAGCAAAATGAGGTAGTACAAGGGAGCAGGGAGGTGGGTGGGAGTTGAGCGAGTGAAATGGAGGTCCAGTTTCTTGCCAAATTGCTTCTCAATTTTTTACTGGCTGCGACAGGCCAACATCGCTAACGGCGTCGAATTCGCGAGTTGCGACGTCCCATTCACCAGTGGAGTGTGGATCTCGACAAATGCGAACTAACCGTCAAGTTACCCTGCACTTGCGAACTCTAACATGACGAGTTTCTGTGGTGGCGTGGCATGCCAGCAGTGCATGTCGAACCCAAAAATCCCGCATTGTCTGCAAGTCAGACAAAGCAGGGCAGTGGCTGACCCTGTTTGACGAACACCGACCTCCTCATTGGCTCTCGCAATAACAGAACTCGACGAAACCCTAACGAGCACAACAGCGCATGATACATAAGGGCGTGGATCTTCTGGTGTGGAATTTTTTTTTTTAAGGGCAACGTTTTGCTGATAACCAGCTTCGCCAAATTCGTTTAGAGCTGTTGACGACGATCGTGTGCCCAAGCTCAGAGTTGAAGAAAACTGCAGGACACTGAACTCGGGTCAGCCTCGCATATTATTTTCCCCAAGCACGTTTCTCCAATCGTGTCTTCTGCTGCCCACGCACGAAGAAGCTGCGAGCTTCGCGATGGTAAAGAGCCACCTCGCGCGCGGTTACCGAAGTTTGAACCGCCAACGAACCTCACTGTGCAGACCCGGTAACCTACGAAAGTTAGGCGCGATTCGGATTTTGCTGTACAAAGTCGAACTTTGGAAGTCGAGCATTTCTTGGCCATGTGCTCCACGTCAAAGGTGAACACGCGACTCGACAATTAAATTATGAGATAGTCGACTACAGGTCGACCAGTGTTCATTGCCAAACTGAGACTAAAAAACGTGAACTTCTGCCCGAAATTCAAAAGGCACGCGCCCTAACGGTTTCAGCATGCGAAGAGCTACTAACATATTTGAAAATGCGACCAGCCCGTTCGCAACCTCGCGACCTGATGACATAGGAAACTAGCTGCTGAGCCCGTATAGCCTCTCAGACCCAATCCTACCTTATCGCGATCTAGAACTGTCAAGTGGTCTAGCGATATGAGAGTTGACAGTGCACAGTCGTGCGAATTCTGAGTTTACTTGAAAATCGGCAATATGGCAATAGCGCGTGATGTCAGAACGTGGTCTAAACTCCGCTTTCGCATGTCCTCCCCCGCCCCATCATTTTCCTCCTCCTCACCATCGCACAATCTCCTTTGTGCGACGACGCCGCCGCTGTCGCAAGAAGCACAAGTGCGCAATTGGCACGGCGCATCATAGAAAGAAACGGCGGATACTCTTATTTCCCGCCCTCCCTCCCGCAGCTTCCAGCCAATTTCTCTCTGCCCCGAGCAAAATGGGCCTCTATGGCCATGATTCCTTTATCGGCCTTTCTTCCGTAACTGGCCCTATGATGTAGTATTCTCAAATAACGATCTCAAAACGTCGTTTTTTGCCCAGTCATCTGGATTCCGTATGAGTTGAATCAGTAATAGCGCTAATACTGCTGGCCGACATCCTTAATGCTACGGATTGGCGGCGGCAAGTCGAGCGAGCGGCGTCACGGGCTCAGTAGCTGCTCAGCGAGTGCCGAGAAAGTCGTAGCAAGTCACGAGGCAACGTCGCGAGCATCGCAGGCGTCGGACTGCACGAGCATTTGGCGATGGCGATGGTGGGGCAAACGGCGATCAAACATTGCCTTCCTCATCGTCGCCTTCAGCGCGGGTGGGAGAATCGTCTTCTCCCTACCTGCTCTTCTCCCGTGCATGTTCCCCCGGATCCTCGCCAATGTTTGCTCCTTATCCTCCTATGCTTGTTTCAGATATCCATTCATTGTGTACCCCTTGCAAGAAATGTATACTCCCTTCTCTCCTCCAGCCCCCCTCTTTTCCTCCCCCTTTACCCCCTTTCTTCCCCCCCCAGCCCCCCCTTAACCCCCTTTGTCATTTCTCCCCCCTCCATCCCCCCTCATGCTACATGTCACCCTCTCACAGGCTACGGAGAGTTGCTGAAAGTTGGGCACTACACGCGCAGGCAGTGGGTCCGGGCGGCCATTTCATCATCTTTCCTGCCGACCAGACGGCCCCTAGCCTTCGCCACCAGCAGGTAGCCGAGCAGGTGCGATCTGCGAGAGGTGTCCTGCTGAGGTGACATATGGCTGGGTGGCGTTACACGCATGGCTGGGTGGCGTTACACGCATGGCTGGGTGGCGTTACACGCATGGCTGGGTGGCGTTACACGCATGGCTGGGTGGCGTTACACGCATGGCTGGGTGGCCTGGCAGTCACCTTCCCGCGAATGGCACGCGCACGCTGGTCCCAATCTGGACCTCCCTCCCCATCCACCTTCGTCACCTGCCTATCCCCTTCCCCACACCCCTCCCGTTCCCCCTCCCCACTCACCTTCCCTTCCTCTAACCCGTCACCCTCCCCGTCCCCCCTTCCCTTCCACTTCCCCATCCCCCTCCCGTTCACTGCATGTCCAACGGTTCTCATACGCCGCTCTAATCACCCTTGCCTCTTTCCATTTACATATATGCCACTCACCCCCATCCCTATCACTCCGTTCCTCCCCCTGGATGCCTCTTCTCCTGTGCCCCTCACCCCCCACCTCTCCCTGCATGCCTCTAGTCGCATGCCAATGTTCCCTCATCCCCGCATTCCCCCCATCCCCCCATCCCACATTCCCTCCATCCTTCCTCCCCCCATTCCCATCTTCCCCTCCCCTCCCCGCCAGCCCTCTTCCGTCACAGTGAACCTGCAGTGGCCCTCGCCACATGCGCCTGGCAAGTAACGCTGCTGGACGGCGGCGTGTTCGGCCCCTCACTGCCCCACCTGCTCGCCCTGCACATCGCCGGCCGGCCCCTGCTCACTGGACTGGACCTAGAGACTTCCAGCCGCCCCCTGCTTTCCCTCTTCCTCAACCCATGCGCGCATGCTGCCGCTGCATGCATTCTCTGCATGTCCGTGGGCTTCCTCGTGCCTGCTGACGTGGCGGACAGAGTGGGGGTGGCTACGTGCTGGTGGTGGACATGCCTCTTGGCTTGGGGGATGTGTTTCCGGTCAGCCCAGCTGGACGCAGCGGGTCTGACAGTCAGGTGCGTGGTGTACAGAGTTGGGTGGGAAGGGAGGGGAGCAAATGGGAGGGGTGGAATGGGACGGGAGAGTTGGACGGTGATGGGATACGGGATGGGAATGGATGGGATGGGAATGGATGGGATGGGAATGGATGGGATGGGAATGGATGGGATGTGAACGGATGGGATTGGATGGGATGGGATGGGATGGGATGGGAATGGATGGGATGGGATGGGATGGGATGGGATGGGATGGGATGGGATGGGATGGGATGGGATGGGATGGGATGGGATGGGAATGGATTGGATGGGAATGGATGGGATTGGATGGGATGGGATGGGATGGTATGGGATGGGATGGGATGGGATGGGATGGGATGGGATGGGATGGGATGGGATGGGATGGGATGGGATGGGATGGGATGGGATGGGATGATATGGGATGGTATGGGATGGGATGGGATGGGATGGGATGATATCGTATGGGATGGGATGGGATGGGATGATATCGTATGGGATGGGATGGGATGATATCGGATGGTATGGGGTGGTATGGGATGGGATGGGATGAGATCGGATGGGATGGGATGGTATGGAATGATATGGGATGGGATGAGATGGGATGAGATGGGATGTCATTGGATGTCATGGGATGCCAGCAGAATGAGCAAAAGAGGCAGTGAAAGTGGGAGGGCAGTGAAGGGTCCCCTGCATGGCAGTTGGGGTTTCGCCTTGCATAAGAACAACCAAACGTCTCTTTTTTTTGCCGTAAGCTGCAGAAGATATGCTCATACCTCCCTCCCTTGATCTCCTCTGTTCCACCCATTCCAGGTCTCCCGACTGCCAATTTCATCCTCCCTTGCATTTCCCCTCCCCTGGCTTGCAGGCTTGCCCCTCCCCGTCCCTCCCAAGGACCCTCTTGCCTTGCCCCTCCCGGTCCCCCCAAGGATCCCCTTGTTTTGCCATAGCATCCCCTCCCTTGCCTTGCCGTGCTCGCCCCTCGCTGCTTAAATCTGGTCGGTCAGACACACATGGCAGCAAGGGTGCACTATGAGGTCACAGAGGAGATGCTTCTCACTCTTGCTGCTTACATCCACTCAGGCACTCACTCCTACCCTGCATTACAATCCATCCCAGCCAGCTTATTCGCTATATGTATGCATTATTCTTGCCTGTCTCCTCGACACTCTTCCGGCGTTACATAAGGACGCGTCACAATTAAAATACCGAGGAAGGATCGGGCTTGTTCACCGATCCTGCCAAATCGATCGCCACATCGGTGTGCCACGACTGAATTTTTGCAATCGCGGGCCCGCCGCAAGTTCCAAGTGACACGATCAAAAAATCATGGGGCAAAATTGCCCGATGTGGAGGAAATTGCACGATCGATGTGTGGCAAGGGCACATCGATCGCCCGACTCCGAGGGGACTACTATACATTGGCGACAAAAGACAAAAACAGATAACCAGAAATTAACGACGTCGCGAATGAGCTGTAGCCGCGAAACACCGATCCTGCGCAAGATCGGTGTTTCAATTGTGACGCGTCCTAAGCAACCACATGCCTTTTTTTTTCTGCAGAAGCTGAGAGCTAGTTTCTTTCCCTCCCTCTCCCTATCCCTCCTTTCCTCCCTTCTTTCCTCCCTTCTTTACTCCCTCTTCTCGTTCCTCCCTCCCGCCTCCCTCCCTCCCTCCCTTCCCCCCTCCCTCCCTCCCTCGCTCCCTCCCTCCCTCCCTCCCTCCCTCCCTCCCTCCCTCCCTCCCTCCCTCCCTCCCTCCCTCCCTCCCCCCCTCCCTCCCTCCCTCCCTCCCTCCCTCCCTCCCTCCCTCCCTCCCTCCCTCCCTCCCTCCTTCCCTCTCTCTCTCCCTGCCTCCCTCCCTCCCTCCCTCCCTCCCTCCCTCCCTCCCTCCCTCCCTCCCTCCCTCCCTCCCTCCCTCCCTCCCTCCCTCCCTCCCTCCCTCCCTCGCTCCCTCCCTCCCTCCCTCCCTCCCTCCGTTCCTCCTTCCGTTCCTCCCTCCTCTCCTCTCTCTCCCGCTTTAGTTTGTCTTTTGCTCAGTTCAAATCACAATAACACAAGCTTTTGAGTTTCGCTCATGGCCAAAAAAACTAATCCCATTCTCCTCTCTTCCTCTTTCCATCCCTCCCTCCCTTCCTCCCTCCCTCCCTCCCTCCCTCCCTCCCTCCCTCCCTCCTTCCATTCCTCCCTCCTCTCCTCTCTCTCCCGCTTTAGTTTGTCTTTTGCTCAGTTCAAATCACAATAACACAAGCTTTTGACTTTCGCTCATGGCCAAAAAAACAAATCCCATGCTCCTCTCTTCCTCTTTCCATCCCTCCCTTCCTCCCTCCCTCTCTCCCTCCCTCCCTCCCTCCCTCCCTCCCTCCCTCCCTCCCTCCCTCCCTCCCTCCCTCCCTCCCTCCATCCCACCATCCCTCCTTCCCTCCATTCCCCCCTCCCTCCCTCCCTATCTCCCTCCCTCCCTCCCTCCATCCCTTCCTCCCTCCCTCTCCCTCCCTCATTCAACCTGTGCCTTCTCTCTCGCCTCCCAATTGCATCCTCCTGTTCTCCCCAAGGAGCGTGCAAGGCACTGGACTAGCCTCCCCCACCGTGCTCGAGGTGAGGCGTTGAGGTGGGGGTGAGGCGTTGAGGCGGGGGTGAGGCGTTGAGGCGGGGGTGATGTGCTAGTAGTGGCACATCTTTCAGGTGTTTTCCCTGCTGGAGGCTCAAATTTTTCATGCCCTGTTCTGCCATGCTCTGACTGCTTTGCCTGCCTGCCTGCCTGCCATGCTTTACCTACCTGGTTGGTTTCCGCTCCCTCCTTTCTGGCGGCTTTTCCTCCTATGACCTCATTCCGCCCTCTTGTCTTCATCGCTCGCCCTCCCCTTACCTCTTCTCCCCCTCCTCTCTTTTTCTGCTCTCCTTTCCCTCTCCGTCGCTCTTCCACTTTTTCTGTGACCATTCCGATCCCTCATGATCCTTCAGTTTTCACCCTTTTCTGTTCGCCTTTCTCCTTTCTCAGCTCGCCCACTCCCAATCATTCATGTGCAAACTCATGCTTCATCCAGCCCTTTCTTCCCCTGGCCCCCTTTCTTTTCCCTTGCCCACTCTCCTTCCTGCCACCCTCTCTCTCTCTACGTTTCCTCTGCCTACTCTCCTCCCCTCCTCCCCGCCTTCTCCCTCCTCCCCACTCTCCCCCCCCCCCCCCCCCCCCCCCCCCGGTCTCCTTCCCCTCGCCCCCTCTTCTTATCCCCGCCCTTCTCCTCCCCCCTTGGCCACTTTCCTCCCCCCCGCCCCCTTTCTGTTGGAGGCTGCCAGGAAGTCATCGTGGAGTGTGGCGCTGTTCGGTGCTCCCAGTGACGGCCGGACCAGCAAGTGAGTGGTTCTTTGGAAGATAGTTTGTGTGGGAAAAGGAGAGATTATGTGTAATGCCTTCGCTCTTGCTTGGGCTGGCCCTGCCGCTCTCCCCACCGACAGCCGTGGCGTTGGTTGGGGTGACCAGTTCCTGGTGGAGCGTGAACGATTTCCAACAAGCTCCAGGCAACCTGAAGCGCTGGACTAAGTTGGAAAAAACGCAAGTTTGACGTTGCGTATTGAGTTTATACGCATCTAAAATTCGTACGCTGCGTATTTTTCTAAAATTCGCCAAATTTCTCTCAGGCTGACCGGGAAAAAAAATCAGTTGTGTTCGCGAGTATCGGAATTCAGATTTGAGATCGCGAATTGCAAATGCAACCTCAGATCTGAATTTCGAAACCGTTTGGTGAATCGTCCCCTCCTATCAACCGCTCAACAACCCATTCCAACCACATCGATTACCAATGCCTTCCAATTTTGTTGCCAACTTCAACCAGACTCATCCTCCCCGCTCAATGTCAGGTCGTTTTTTCCCTTCGATCCCCTTCTAATTTCACTTGCGACGATAACCTACTACAGCAGCTCCCGTTCCCGTCTCTTGACCTAGCATCTTAACCTGCCCGGGAGAAGAATTTAGCTGCCCGGGCAAGCGTTTTTCTGTGCGTACCAGACCCCCTCCGGCCAGCGTACTGCGTATAAACTCTAGCGTTTATACAGAAAGCGTACAAAACGCGAAACGCGTTTTTTCCAACATAGGCGCTGGAAGCGAGCAACCTGTGTGGCTGTTTGGAGGGTGTTATGAGAGGTGGAGTGTGAGATTAGAGAGACAGCGGATCGAGTGGAGTGACAGAATTCCTGGTGGAGTGCGAGATTGCCCCGGCGCTGGAGGTGGTCAACTATCCCTGCCAGCCGTGCAAACATCCAGCTGATGTGCAACATTCCTTTCCCCACTTGGCCACCCTTCTTCCCCACTGACAGGCGGCGCGTTGAAGTGACAGAGTTGCTGGCGGAGAGGGTTGCTTGGGGAGAGGGTTGCTGGGGGAGAGGGTTGCTGGGGGCGAGGGTTGCTGGGGGAGAGGGTTGCTGGGGGAGAGGGTTGCTGGGGGAGAGGGTTGCTGGGGGCGAGGGTTGCTGGGGGCGAGGGTTGCTGGGGGAGAGGGTTGCTGGGGGAGAGGGTTGCTGGGGGAGAGGGTTGCTGGGGGAGAGGGTTGCTGGGGGAGAGGGTTGCTGGGGGAGAGGGTTGCTGGGGGAGAGGGTTGCTGGGAGAGGGTGCTGGGGAGCGAGTTCGATCTGGGTCTGGAGGTGAACAACTTCCTGCACTGCACCTGCCAGCCGTGCAGATCCACGCCAGCGTGGCAGCCTCGCTGGCAGAGAAGAAGCAGAAGCGTGTGCTGTTTGAGGGGCTCATGGATCGGATCAAGCACATGCTGCCACCCGCTGACATGGATGAGGTGAGAAGCACAGTCTCTGCAGTCTCTGGATCGGACAGGCTCATGGGTCGAGAGCATGCACTTGATCCGATCCATGAGCCAAGCACAGTCTCTGCACACTTGGTCACGCCCTCTCCCTCTGTCTGAGAGAAGCACCAGCACCTCGTGCTGTTTCCAGGGCTCATGCACTGCATGCCTGCCAAAAGCCTGGTAGCATGATTTGTGGGATGTGCGACAGAGATCTGGCGTGCCTACTGGTTTCTGATGCGGCTACTAGTCTCGAACGCTGCTAATGGTTGTATGAGTGGAGGGTGTCTCAACAACCTCGCGTGTTGCACTCCTCTCCAAACCTCACTTTTCCAATCGTGTTCTTTCCAAACCTCATTCCTTTCACCTCCCCCCTCCTCTTTCTCTTCCCCCTCATCCCATCATCTGCACACGTGTCCACAGGTGATTGGAGCAACAGCGATGGTCTACACCCACGCTGCTGTCAAGCTGTCAGATCTCTCCCTGACCTTTACCAGGCAGCAAGACATGTCCCGATCTGTGAAGCTGCCCAAGGAGAAAATCACCGACTCATCCACATGCTGTCAGACGAGCACAAGTGAATCTTTTGGTTTTCCTAAGTCTGTTAATATCAGTCTGTTACGGTTAAGTAAGTCTGTTAGCTTTCATCCCACTGTCTGCGCACATGCTCTCATCCACATGCTGCCAGATGGGTATGAGGGAGTTACTTGACCTAATGGTCCTCTGATGGCCATAATTGCTTCTTCTTCCCTTCTGTAACTGCTCTGTCATAATCTCGAGGAATAGTGTCAAAAGGAGCGCCACTGTTGCGTCATTTGGACACCGTATGAGCTGACTCAGCAATTGCACTAACTTTGCTCACCATCATCCCTCATGCCTCCTATGAGCGATGGCAAGTGGAGCGAGGATCGGCGTGCGTCGCTAGCTGCTCCTTGAGTACCGAGAAAAATTCGTAGCGCCGCGTTTATTGCGAGAAATTCATCGCATGCGTCGCAGCGAATCGAATGGCATCAAAAGACGATCAAGAGGGCCGTCAACTTGCCGCTTTTGAGAATTCTGGTGCCATTGTCACCTCCTTCGATGCTGGCTGGAGGGTTGTCTTCTCCCTCCCTGCTCCTCTCCCCATGCCTTCGCCCCCGTTCCTCCCAGCTTTTTCTCCTCATCCTCATTCTGTGCTTGTTGTGCGCGATAGAAAATTTCCGGGCGGGGGGGGGGGGGGGGGGGGGGGGGGGGGTGGGGGGTAGAGTAGAGTCTGGCGCGGGGGAGGGGAGATGTGGGGGAGGCTGGGAGAGGGCTGGGAAAGGGCTGGGAGATGGGAGAGAGGGGGGGAGGTGGTGGAAAGAGGGGGGGAGGTGGTGGAAAGAGGGGGGGAGGTGGTGGAAGGCATGGAGAACAAAAGCAGGTGCGTTGCACCAGGGAAGAGGGGAGAAGTGGTGAAGGGGAGGGAGGGGGGAGGGGGAAGGGGGTTGATTGGTGATGAAAGTGTGAGGGTTGCGCAGCGAGGAGAAATGAGTGACGATGGTGATTGCAAACAGCCGTGTTTTGCTCAATTCCCGACCCCTCTCACTTCTTCACCCCCCGCCAACCGTGCGGAATTGATCGATCAGGTGTGCACACACTATGCGACATTCCCCACTCTTAGCTTCCCCCACTGTTCCCCTCCACTCTAGCCCCGCCATTTCCCCCTCTTCCCCCTCCCCTTCTCCCCATTCCCCCACCTCTTCTTGTTCCCCCTGCAGGTGTGCGAGGATGCGTGCCTGCGTACCGCATGGTACAAGCCGGTGCTGAAACGTCTCAAAACATCCCTGCCCTTCCCATCTATGACCCCCATCTGCTTGGTGTGCTGCAGGTGTGAGCACCACATGGTAGCACACTGAATGGTTCTGCAGAAGCATGTGCTGCAATATCTTGAAACACCCTCGCCCTTTCTCTCCCATGTAGAGTAGAGTAGAGTCTGGCGCGGGGGAGGGGAGATGTGGGGGAGGCTGGGAGAGGGCTGGGAAAGGGCTGGGAGATGGGAGAGAGGGGGGGAGGTGGTGGAAAGAGGGGGGGAGGTGGTGGAAAGAGGGGGGGAGGTGGTGGAAGGCATGGAGAACAAAAGCAGGTGCGTTGCACCAGGGAAGAGGGGAGAAGTGGTGAAGGGGAGGGAGGGGGGAGGGGGAAGGGGGTTGATTGGTGATGAAAGTGTGAGGGTTGCGCAGCGAGGAGAAATGAGTGACGATGGTGATTGCAAACAGCCGTGTTTTGCTCAATTCCCGACCCCTCTCACTTCTTCACCCCCCGCCAACCGTGCGGAATTGATCGATCAGGTGTGCACACACTATGCGACATTCCCCACTCTTAGCTTCCCCCACTGTTCCCCTCCACTCTAGCCCCGCCATTTCCCCCTCTTCCCCCCTCCCCTTCTCCCCATTCCCCCACCTCTTCTTGTTCCCCCTGCAGGTGTGCGAGGATGCGTGCCTGCGTACCGCATGGTACAAGCCGGTGCTGAAACGTCTCAAAACATCCCTGCCCTTCCCATCTATGACCCCCATCTGCTTGGTGTGCTGCAGGTGTGAGCACCACATGGTAGCACACTGAATGGTTCTGCAGAAGCATGTGCTGCAATATCTTGAAACACCCTCGCCCTTTCTCTCCCCTCCACACCCGTTCCTCCCCCCCCGTGTCCCTGTCCTCCGCCCACCAGGTTTGCACCAACTGTCTGCCAGCAGGTCGCATGGTGCAGTTGTTTGAGACATCTCGAAGCATCCCCCTTTGTCCCTCTCCCCTATCCCTTGCGCACCTCTCCTCCGCCCGCCAGGTGTGTGAGGACTGCATGCGCAGCACCATGCGACCGCATGCCAGCTTGCGCAGACCGCATGGGGCTGTGCAAGCTGGCGCGAGTGGCCGCGGCTACGGATGAGCAATGGGAATTGCAGGGATGATACGGGTAAGCGATTGGGGGGCGGGGAGGAGGGGAAGAGGGGATTAGGAGAGGGAGGGGCATCGCAAAAAATCAGGCTCTGCTTTCGGCTGTTTAGGGTGATCTAGGCGTTGTTTACCTGCGCTGATGGCTGTTTGCCAAGTGCCCCGTAAATGGATTGGCGTTCAGCCAATTGTGGTTCACTTACCGGGCCCCACGTAGAGCTTCGTAAACGACCAATTGGGGGTACCACTGTAGCACTTGCCCAACTGACAAGCATGGTCGTGCATAGCTATGTACGGCAATTCGCGTTGGATAATTGTGTGCCACGTAAACTGGGGTGGGCTACTCGCGATTTACAGGGACCCCGGTTTCCATCTGTAAATGGTAGATCAATGCCGCGTACAGTCGTTGACGACCTTGCACCCAGGTGTCGCGACTGGGCGTCGATATTGCCGTAACCCGTTTCGTAATTGTAACCAGTAGCTTCTAACACCCGGTTACACTGCGTAACGCTTAATATACTGTACTGTTCAATTGTGCTTATTAAAATGTCGCCTGATATAATAAATTTGTGAAGCGCGCCTACCGTGGTTCCAAATTAATTCAATTTGGCCTTTCCAGCAGAGCAGAAATACATTTGATACTTTCAACTGTAAGCCGGATTTTGCATTCCAGTATGATCCGTGAATGATGCTCAATAACAATCATTCTAAACAGGCAACATGTTACATTGCTTTAGCTACGTTCATGATCTGCACCAAATACTAGCTTGAAAACGGTTGCAAACAGTAATCACCCACGTGCAATAGCCACTATCCTGTACCCATATAATATAACTACATTGCACTACTGTGCTAACAGTGACAAAATTAGAAAGAAGAAAGAGGATTGAACTAGCAAGAATGAGGATACAAATAGCAAACCCTAGAAGGGTTGTACTCGCTATAGAGCACCCCACTACAGGCTAGAACAATAAGATAATATTCTGACAAACAGAGTCGACTCCTGCAGCACCAAAGAAAACTGTGATAAAACAGAGACATGTGAAACTGCAGAACACAGGCACAGAAGTTGACACAGCAAGCCTTACTCACGCTGGAACATACTAAGTGATTGAAGTTAACCTGTCCACATCCAAGGCAGGGGAGTGTCGATGCTCGAAAAAAACAAGCATCAAAACGAAACACTGGCCAAAAGACAGACACATCTCCACACTAGAATGAAGTGAAGTCAACCGACATTGGCTGGTAGTGACATGAACCTGCACAAAAAAGAAACGTAGATCGTAGGTTAGAAAACTACGTCCTACTGAAAAATATCCCAAGTCACATAAAACGGTAGGGCGCAACAAGCATACCTCATAACCAGGAACGGCTTTGCCAAAGAAAGCTTCAACGAACATCGCGCCATGTAGGAAGAACGGGAAGAAGAGGAAGAAAAAAAAAACGCCTACGTTACCCTCGTGAAGTTACACCATGCTCGACTAGGTGTTGGTTGACGAGAAAGAAGAATAGCTCGAAGAGGATAGAGGTGGAATGAAAGTGCGTGCTAAAAGCAAGCTGCAGCGTGGGGAGGGGGGAGGAGGTTGGATTCTAACCAATCGACTTTGCCCCAGGTAAAGAAAACAGAGACGTTCTTGCACACGATGTGACCAACCAATACGATTGGCCAAGTTGGCCAGCAGCGAGGTCACGGGTCAACCACCACACAGAGTCAGAAGAAACGAGAATGAATTAACTATGAATGAAGTGAGTACAAGTACCAACCCTAATTGGGTTGTACCCCCTATGGGATACCCCACTATAGCCTACACAAATGTATAAGCTATATAATGTTCTGACACACCCCCATAGGCAAAGTGGGGGAGAACAAGGGGTCACAGGACCAGTCAAGCAAAGCAAAGCAAGGCAAGCTCAGGGTGGATCTCAAAGTCACCACACAGTCCGAGCATAAGGTCAAGGGCACAAGGCCAGTTCACATGCAAGAGTACACACATATATATAAAGCTAGACAAGCAAGAGCAGGTATATATATATGTCACAGTACAAGCAAGGTGAAGAGGAGAGCAAGTGAGGCAAGACAGGCACAAGACCCAGCTGAGTGCAGAAGCGCTGATGATCACAAGGCGCAAGTGCCTTGGTGAAGACATCAGCAGCGTTGGCCTCAGAGGCCACGTACGCAAGCCGTAACTGTCCACGCTGCTGTAGCTCACGAGCAACGAAGTAGCAGAGAGCAATGTGCTTTGTTCTGTGCTCCAGTCGCTGCTCTCGACACAAGGCCAGCATGGCCTTGTTGTCTACGTAAAGGACTGGAGGAGAACGAGGCGGCTCTCCAAGGTCGGTCAGCAGGTAGGTGAGCCAGCGAAGCTCCTGTGCAGCCATGGCCCCGGCGTAGATCTCAGCCTCACAACTGGAGCCGAGAACAGAAGACGAGCGAGTAGCCCGCCACGAAACAGAGCCGGAACCGAGGCTGAAGGTGTAACCCTGTGACGACCGCTGCGTAGCCTGGTCGTCAGCCCAAGAAGCGTCTGCGTGCCCAGTGAGGACCACTGGACTGCGCCCTCCAAGCACTAGCCCCATGCCCGACGTTCTGCACAAGTAGCGCAACACCCTCTTCGCTGCATCCATGTGCTCTGGTCGGTGTCTCCCAGGAGCAACATAGCGTGCAAGAATGCTAAGAGGGTATGCAAGGTCAGGTCGTGTGCAGGTCATCAGGTACATGAGGCAGCCAATAAGCTCTGGATATGGGCCACTCGACTCTACGGACTCATCCGAAGGCAGAGCTGAGAGTGAGTGGCGAGTAGGCAGAGGAGTGGCCTGAGGCGAGGAGTACGTGAAGCCAAAGCGCTGAAAGACCTGCTGCACCATGTGTGACTGAGTAAGGGTAATGGTGCGGCGTGCTCTGTCCCGGGTGATCTGCAAGCCAAGGTAGCAGCGTAGTTCACCCAGGTCAGTGCACGTGTGTCTCTTCTGCAGCTCGGACTTCACGTAGGCGAGTCCAGCAGTGTCAGCTCTGGCAAGGACCAAGTCGTTGACGTACACGAGGATGTAGAACGGCGGCCGAGAGGTGTCGGTGCGCAGAAACAGCGACGGGTCGGCAGTAGAAGGAGCAAACCCAAGAGCCGCAAGTGTAGTCCTCAGTGTGTCGTGCCACTCACGTGGTGCCTGGCGGAGACCGTAGACTGGACGCCGGAGACTCCACTAGGTACCAGGAGGGAAAGACCCAGTGAAGCCAGGTGGGCGACGCAGCCAGATCTCCTCGTGCAGGCTGCCCTGCAAGAAAGCTGTGCTGAAGTCGAGAGAGTGCAGCTCGTAGTCACGGTGAGCAGCAACGTGCAGCAGTACCCGAAGAGTGGTCATCTTTGGGGTAGGGGAGAAGGTCTGAAAGTAGTCAACTCCCTGCCGCTGACTGAAGCCACGAGCCACGTAACGCGCCTTGAAGACAGGCGGAGAACCCGGCGGCCGCTTCACCCTGAAGATCCACATGCCACTGACGATGTTCGCCCCAGGAGGGGGGACAGCGTCAACGTAGGTGCCTGTGGACTTCCAGGAAGCCATCTCTGCATCCATAGCTGCCTGCCACTGAGAGGAGTAGGGACCCTCTACCGCCTCCGCGTAAGAGCGCGGAGTCGGGATGACAAGCGCATCCGGGTCTCCCTCAGGGGCAAGCAGTACGGACACGAGATGAGGTGAAGCAGCTGCCAGACACTGGAACTCCTCCTGCCTGTCCTCAAGGACGTCCGTGCCAAGGGCACAGTCACCCCCGACGGACAGAGGACACACAGACTCAGACTCAGCGACAAGGCTAGCAGCGTAGTCTAAGCGACAGTGAGCAGCAAAGTCGACGAGCTCAGCAACGAGGGCAGACGCAGCAGCAGACTCGAAAGAAGGGTCAGTGACGACCGTAGCAAGGAGACGCGTGACAGTAGGACTGGCAGCACGAAGAGAGTCCGACTCCGAGTCGGCAAGAGCAAGAAGAGAGGACTCAGGAGGAGAAGGCAAAGGGGCACGCAGAGGAGCAGTAGACGGACGCAGAGACATCCTATGTGTGCCAGGGACAGGAGGAGGACGCGGACGCAAACCACGACCATTAGCGCGAGTAGGACGGACAGGCTACGCAGGGCGAGACGCAGGCTCACGACGCTCAGTAAGACCTCCAGTAGGACCAGCGTAGGGAGAAGGAGCAGGCAAAGGGGAGGCAGGCTGTAGCTGTGACTGTGACGGGACAGGCTGTGGACACTCTAAGGGAGGAGGAGGACCACTAGAAGGTGGAAGACCAAGAACCTGCTGCAGGAGTGGAACGAAGTACGGTCGAGGCCGCGTGGCGACGCCAGAAACAGCAGGGACAGCACCAGTACACCCAGCAGGAGCACCCGCTCCAGCAGCACCTCCAGCAGCTCCAGAACCTCCAGCAGCACCAAAACCCTGCCCCAGCAGGACCGCTAGTGGTAGTCTCAGCGCCAACACCCTCAGCAGCACCAACTCCAGTCGAACCTGCAGGCCCAGCAGCTCGAGTACTCCCAGTACGAGCACCTCCGGGACCAGCGACAGCACCACCCTCAGTAGCCGAAGAACCTCCTGCACCACCAGCACGGCTCCAGCGCCGGGCAAACCACTCGCGAAGCTCCTGTGGAGAGAGAGGCTCCCGGTGAGACGAAGCACCCGGAGAACCTTCAGGCGAAGCACCTCCAGGCTCCGCACCCCCAGGCCCAGCACCCCCAGGCAAAGCACCCCCAGGCGTAGCACCCCCAGGCTCAGCACTCCCAGGCTCAGCACCCCCAGGCTCAGCACCCCCAGGCTCAGCACCCCCAGGCGTAGCACCCCCAGGCTCATCACCCCAAGGCTCAGCACCCCTAGGCTCCGCACCCCCAGGCCCAGCACCCCCAGCAGCACCAGAGTCACCAGTGACCTCGACAGGCTGGACTGCGTCTACCTGGGACACACCTGAAGGGGCACGACCCTGAGGGGGGAGGGGGTCTACCAGGGGGGGACCTGGTACAAGGAAGAGCGGGGGCGGGGG